GTGCCCCTTGCCCTGAGCCGTCTCAAAGGGCGCTTACGAGGCAAGCATGTACTAGTCCGCACGGACAACACAGCGACCGTTGCGTACATCAACCGACAAGGTGGTCTGCGCTCCCATCGCTTGTCGCAACTCGCCTGCCACCTCCTTCTCTGGAGTCAGAAGCATCTGAAGTCGCTTCGTGCTGTTCACATTCCTGGGCTGCTCATCCGGGCAGCCGACGAGCTGTCCCGAGCTGCGCTCCCGGGAGAACGGCAACTCCATCCCCAGACGGTCCAGCTGGTTTGGAGAGTCCCTCCTTGGCCGATTCCTCTGAGGAAGGATTTACTGACTCAGAGACGGGGGAACCCTTTGGCACCCGCATCCAGACCTCTGGAAACTTCATGTCTGGTCCCTGGACGGGACGCGGAGGTTCTGAGTGATCTACCCCAAGAGGTAGTCGACACCATCACTTCGGCGAGAGCACCGTCTACGAGACACGCCTACGCTTTGAAGTGGAACCTGTTCGTTGAGTGGTGTTCTTCTCGCCCGAGAAGACCCCCGAAGATGCCCGATCGGAGTTGTGCTGTCCTTGTTGCAGCAGGGGCTGGAGCGAAGGCTGTCTCCCTCCACCCTTAAAGTTCATGTCGCCGCGATCGCTGCTAACCACGGCCCCGTAGAAGGGAGGTCGTTGGGGAAGCATGACTTGGTCGTCAGATTCCTTAGGGGGGCGAGAAGGTTAAATCCTCTACGGCCCCCCTCTATACCCTCTTGGGACCTGAGTCTGGTGCTCACGGCACTACAGCAGGCCCCGTTTGAGCCTTTCCAGGCAGTGGAGCTGAAGTTCCTCTCAATGAAGACTTTGCTCCTGCTGGCATTGGCCTCTATCAAGAGGGTAGGGGACCTGCACTCATTTTCGGTCAACGATTCGTGCCTAGAGTTCGGGCTGGCTGATTCCCAGGTAACCCTGAGGCCCCGGCCCGGCTACGTGTCCAAGGTTCCCGCTACTCCCTTCAGGGATCAGGTGGTGAACCTCCAAGCGCTGCCCTCGGAGGAGGCAGACCCAGCCCTAGCTTTGCTAGCAGTAGCTGGTCCTCTTGTGCAAGCCCTGGCCTACGCCAAAAAGTAGGGGCGCAGATGGCTTCCTCAGGACACTGGAAGGGGCAGTAGCTGTGGCCTTTTGGTAGGATCCCAATTCGTCAGTCATCCAACGTGACGTCGAGAGTGACCGACTGAAAGGGAACGTCTCGGTTACGTATGGTACCCCTCGTTCCCTGAAGGAGGGAATGGAGACGTTACGTCCCGTCACCACAGCTCCTGTACCATTGCTGAGCGGCCGGGTCACCGGCTCGGCTCCTCAGCGAAAACCTGAATATGTGCTGCATCTGCTGCCTACTTATACTCACGCTGTGATCAGCAGCAGCTGGATGCAATAATCGCATGCCAATGTGCATTGGCTCGTTTGGTTTACACTCGAAGTAGATTGGTCTCTCTAAGCGAGATCCCAATTCGTCGGTCATCCGACGTGATGTCTCCGTTCCCTCCTTCAGGGAACGAGGGTTACCATACATAATCGAGACGTTAGCTGAACCCTGTCTGTTTTACGTGTTATTTGTAACAAACAATATTACAGGTGCCTTGTCAGATTTAAGTTGAACCGCGGTGCAAATGCATGCCGAGCTGTGGGTGGAGAATGGTATGTTTTTTTTACAGAGAACTGTTACACCGCTAGTATATATGCATTAATTTATTTATTTATCAGCTAATATTTAAAAATAGGCCAAATTAGTGTTCTATTTACAGCTATAATTTTTTGTAGTAGTTTTTTATTATTAAAATCTTGTGAGAGTCATAGGGTTGCTCAGATTAGAATGTGGACAAAACAGTCACTCTTTGTAAACTTTCTTCAATGCGAGTGCTTTATGCTCAAATATGACCAGTCATTTACGCCGTTTATTTTATTTCTATCTTTGCTATACTGTATTTATTTGTGCTGTTGCTTGTAATTGTATTATTTGTTCTTATTTTCTTTATTTTTATTTGACAGTATATTCCTTTTTCTCTAAACATAGCATATCCTGAACTGTACCAATGATACAAACTGAACTGTTACACACCTAATATATACATATAGACAGACAAATATACATACCTTGGGAACAGAAAGTGGCTCATGTTTTCCAAGATGCTGCCCCATGTTCCTGAGACAAAATGGAAAAATCAATGTTTATTAAAAATTAGAAAGGCAAAAAAAATTACTTTTATATAATCAAACTGATATTTGGTATTTGAGAAGAGTTTGTGCTGAAAAAAACAAACACTAAAAATTTTTGCATATTAATTCAGATTAACTACTTGATTAATCAAATACACTTTGTTAAACATTTTTAATAGCTTGCAATGAGGTTCAGGTCTAGCCAGTTGAGATGAACTAAATATTTGTTCTTGGAATAATGTACTATGGTATAGTCTTATACCATAATGCCACCCTCCTATAAAGGCATCCGGTTCACTTTTTTCTGTTCTTAGATACTCAAGACAGCAACTCTTTCAAAGTTAACCTGGGTATCTCTGTATTTTGTCACATTCTTGTTTGGTAAGAAACGTTGATCCCTCAAAGCTCTCTATACACAGCGTTTGTGCATTCATATATAGCTTCCAATTCGGATATAGCTTCCACTTCATAGTTGAAACAACAGTGCCCTCTTGGAAATCCAAACTCTTTAGCCTGATTGGCTAAAAGGCCTTACAGGAGTGCTGATATAATCACCAGTATCAGAACTGGGACTGTTCATCATTTGTAATATGTCACTCTGCAGACCTATCTGTCTGCCCATGAGAAAGTCTCACCCACTAGAATGACTAGGCCTATAGCATAAAAAGAGGAGGAAAAACAGTGTTTTTTTTATTTCTTTTCTCACTGAATCTAGGCATGGATCTGTACTCCAGAGGAAGTCGTTCTGCCATTTTTAAAAGGTGTGTGTGAAACTGACCATCCACAGAAAGCAAAAATTCATCAAAAACAATTGGCAGGTGAGACACTCCCATGAGACACTCTGTTGTTTCACATGAGCCGGTGGTTACATATCATGGCACAGGATGTGAAGGTATACCACATTTTTTCCCTCAATTTTTCTGGAGGCTCTAGTTACAAACTCATCACAGTTGTTGTGGTCTGCAAAGATGATACATTCACACGGAAGACACTGAAGTAAAAATGGATGCTCCATGAAACAAAAACGGATCTCTAGTGCACATCACAGAGTACATGTACATAAACATTTACATTTACATTTACATTTAGTCATTTAGCAGACGCTTTTATCCAAAGCGACTTACAATTGGGGGATACATAAAGCGATTCTTCTTAAGAGAGGCAAACAGACACAAGAAGTGGTTGTAATACCAAGTTCTTAGACATTGTTCAAATAAGTACAAGCTAGAAAGAGAAGGAATAAATAATTTTTTTTTTTTTTTTTTTAAACATTTTGCACATTCGTGTTCCTTAGACTTAAAGTGTAATGAGCCAGACTTTTTTAAGTTCCATGTTCAGGGTGAACTTATAGGTTTTAAAGGGGTCATATGACGCGATTAAAATTTTTCCTTTCGCCCTCCTAAAACGCCTTGTTTAAGAAAGAAGGCGTAACTTTTATTCTGTCTGTAGTATTGTTGCTGCCGCTGCCATGTTGTGGAGATGCTGTGTGTTTCGTTGTGAAAGCGAAACTACTTTGTTTGGCCTTCCAACAGAGGATGATATCAGCTTCGTCATGCCTAGAGCTGATCCGTGCTGGTCGCTGAGGAAATACATCAACTTCGCGCTGTCGATCGCCAGATCGACTTTCACCGTGGACGAAGCAGAGTCCAGCCCGGGGTCGTCACATGTGGTTGCCGCAAGCCCGCCCGCCGCGCTGTTCTCTAGCCTGCGGGCCGCCGCTCACTAACCCGCCAGCCGTTCCTCACTCTAGGCCGCCGGCAGCCCAGTGTAGAGTAGGGATTGTTGTTTGTCATTTCTCCAATCACAAATGCAGACATGGTTTTATGTTTATGCGGCACGATATGCAACGCAACACGTAAAGACAGTACAAGTCATTAATCAGTAAAGATGTCCCCACTGGATGCAATAAATGCCTCTTTTGTAATGGGTTTTATTGGTTTTGTGTCGTCGTGCCAGGAGACACGGCATCACAGTATGGTAAGGGGCGTAACATTTCCGTCACACACTTGAGGGATTCAGCCAATCACTACGCACTGGATAGCTGGCCAATCACAGCACACCTCGCTTTTCAGACCGATGAGCTTTGTAAAAATCGACACGTTTCAGAAAGGCGGGGCATAGAGGAGAAACAATAATGTACAGTATGTGGAAAATAATGTGTTTTTTTAACCTTAAACCGCATAAACACATTGCATTACACCAAATACACAACATAATGTTCTTTTTAGCAACGTCACATGACCCCTTTAAGGGAGTACCAAGTATAGTGAAGACGCAGAACATTTCAGCGTTAATTCATTTTTACTTTTTAATGGGGGCAAGAAAGTGTAAGAGAGCACATTTTTACAGTTTCCCTCATTTTGGTGTCGATTATCGCTGGTGTCACCAGAAAGGAACCAATAGTCTAAACAGACATATTGCATGTGAAAATACTAACGTGATAATTCTAACACAGCATACATACAGTATTGTAAATTTTAACCGGTTGAATGAAAAGAAACTAACAATTTAAACAATTCAGGTGAGTCACATAGAATTACTCACTGTATATCTGCCATTAATGTTCATTACAAATGGCATAGGCTAATCAGCAAATTCAAACATTTGAAATTAAGAATAATTATTAAATAGAGCTAAACTTCTCAATAACAGAGATGTGAGATTTTATTTATTTTATTTGCAGCTGATTTTCAGCTTAGCCTGTGTGGTCTCTGCTGAACAAAAAAATAGACACCATCACAAAATTTGTAATGGTTTTGCTGGTTATAATGGGACTTGTATTGGTTTTAATGGAAACTGTAATGTTAATTGGTCACCTTCTATTGGTGGCTTGTTAAAATCAATAAATCCTAATGGAATATATCTCAAAACACACTACAGAAAACCATTTTTAATGGTTAAAAGTTGATGGTTTGTAATGGTATTTGTAGTGGAAACTTATTAGAATTTTCTGTGATGGTTCTATTGTTTTTTCGTCAGTCATCACACTGAGAGTGTATCTAATTACCGGTACCTGCAACACTTCTTTAGAAATGACTTTTCCTGTGGGAGCCTACAGTTGAATACTGAAGATTGTGTGTGGTATTTTACACGTGATGGGGATTCTGAGAAATGCGACTATTTCTGTATTTCATCGGAAGCGTGTGGCGGACAGTGTTGCCAACTTAGCCATTTTGTTGCTAAATTTAGCAACTTTTTCTTCCAAAAGCACCTAGCAACAAATTTAGCTATTTTTAAATTTTATTGGGCTACTTTTAGCAACTTTTGATAAGTGACTCAAACGATAAAAAGGCACAGATTTTCCATCTAAATTACACAAAATGAGTAAACCAAAGATGCCTAGCAGTACACACATCACATGAATTAAGTTAGCTGCTATTAGCAATTGCTCAATTTAATAATAATAATAATAATAGTTCATTTATGATACACAATGGTAGTAGCTTGTACCAGCGATTGTTGATCAGTTAGTACACTGTAAGAAAAATATCTAGAAAAATGGAAAAGGTGCTAGTAATTTTCCAGGACATTCTCCATTATCCATTGTAACCCGAAAACACAAAATACAATGCGTAATTTAAAATGCAGGTAAAAAACCTGTGAAAAATCAATAAGGAAAATTCCTTCATATTAACATAGTAGATTGTGCCCCAGTTTACTAGCTAATAAAAAAACTTAAATTTTAAGCCCTAATTGTTCAAAAATGTGTAAGTGTTTAAAAATACAGTTATTTATATTTTAATATTATATTACTTCACAAACAAATCTAAATGAACATATATAAAATATTTTGTTGCTGAGATTTGACGTAGTGACAATTTTGCGTCCAAATTACGTAATGATGTCATCGCGTAATGACATCACAACATAATTTAGCTACTTTTAGCAACAAATTGACCTTCCTTCAGCAACTTCCCCTGAAAATTAGTTGGCAACACTGGTGGCGGACCTCCGTCAGAAGAGGGCGAGATTTCACTAAAACAGTCGCCAGGTGAGACACCCTCGAGTTAGTTATTCATAATCATAATCATAATCGAGTTGTTTTGAATCAGCTAGTGAGGCGCCGCCTTTGGTTTCCCAACACATCTATTCCCCTCGACGAAAATACGACTGTATGTCGCCCACATTAGTTTCCATCTGAACAAGAGAAGCAAACGCGGAAATTGATCGTTTACGGTCGTGTTTTCACCTGAAAGACTGGAAATCTTCAGCATTATGCGATTATAATAAAGCTTTGAAGCTTGCATAGCTTGAAGCTTTTACATCTTTGAATTGCGCGACTACCGTTAACACTAAACTCTCAGAGTATGTCTTCCTGTTAGTAACCTGTAATGTGTTCTACTGGTAACACACAATAATTACTAAAAAGATTATAATGAAAACGTAACGCACAATAGTATTTCAACCGCTTGACGGTTATCTCCTCACATCTGCTCGACACGCGCTCAAGTTTAGTGTAGTATATGCAAATAAAACGGCATATTTTTGCTACAAGTCGGGGCCTCTGGCTACACGGAAAAACAAATACTCATGTTAACGTGAACGTCGTGCTGAACTGTACTGAAAACCTTGCCATCTGTTTTAATGAGTGAGTAATGCGTTCATAACATCAGGCACAGAAGTTGAAAAGGTGGCACAGCCGAACCGCGACACGTTACATAATAAGTAAGTTAAGTCCAGTCATGACAGAAACAGAACCACTGACTATAGCATCTGCTCAGCTAGAAAACAAGCTGAGCTGAAATAGAGCATATTTTACGCAAAGGCTACGGCACCGTATAAGATGTCGTGATTTGACGAACAGGCACACAAACAAACAAACACACATAAAGACGTACTTGTTTGCCCAAACGCGTCCACGCGATATGTAGATTACAAGTTTCGACTGCTGGCCTCAGCAGTACATCAAAAAATCCACATCTGCCCAAAATATAATTTTGTAGGCTTTGTTTTTGTTTCGGCTGCTTGTGGTTTGGATGGATGATCCACTAACGTAGCTACTTCCTGCTTTTAGGTAGTGCTGTGTTATTCAGTGGGGTGGGGCTATGAAGACGTTTACTAACGTACGTGTTGCTTTCTAAATTACTTAGTATTTAATTATAGATGGAATAAACCTAATAGAAAACCTTTAATGTATCATTACAGTTGTTGTTGTGTTGTCGTTGTGATTGCTATTATGGAGTTGTGTTGTTTCGTTTATTGGTGTTTTATACTGTTGTAGCACCTTGTGTAATGCTGCGTTCAAGTCCTCCTGGGACGTTCCTACTTTTTTTTTTTATGGCTTCAAACAGATTAACAAAATATTTTAACATATAGATACAACACAACCTATTCACATTATTACAATCATACAACTTACAGGAACAAAAAAAAAATTCAATAAAAATGATAAAAAATAAATTAATAAAACAGATATTTCTTCCTTTTCCCTAGAGACACATTTAGTATACAAATGAGTTGAAAAGCATAGCGGGGACATTCTTTTTCAAAGAATTTCTCCATAAAATTGAACAAAATGTCATTCTTTTTGTTATTAATTAACACTAAAGACTTTTTTAACAACTCCATTTCTTTTAAGAAAACAAATTTGTGTTTATGAATGTAATATTTACCATGCAAAACATAAAAGTTTACAACATATTTAAACATTTTGCTTTTGTGTGTGTAAGGACACATAACATCTTTTAAAGATAATTTATAATGAACATTTCTTGGGGCAAATAGAAAAAAAAAGCTAACATCAGACCAAAATTTCAAAGATAAATCACAGCTGTAAAACAAATGACCCAAGTCTTCCTCGTGTACATTACAAAAACTGCATTTGTTTTCAATATCCATGAATTTTGATAAGAAAGATTTACATGGGTAGATTTTGTGGAGTATTTTAAAGTGTACCTCTTTAACTTTATTCAACATGCAAAATTTATATGGATTTAACCATGCATCTTTCCAATGAATATCAGAAATCTGCGTATTCCAAAAAAAATGTCCCTTTTGGAGAGATATTATGATTGGATTGAAAGATTAATCTAATATTTTTATTATTACAGGAATGAGAAAATAGTTTAATACCATCAACTATTATTGATGTTTATTGTTTAGATAGATAAATCATGTTTAGCTTATTATTGAGGAAATTATAGAAAGACATAAATTCTTCATAAGACAACAAGTTTCAGGACATTCGTACTTACAAGTTGACAAGTCGTAAGACTTCAGGTGCGTTCAAGTCAGTTTAGTCGGCACAAGATGGCGACAGAAAATACAACAGGGTCTGTTAACTCTGCTTATAGAAAATGAAGAGCAAAGAATTCGCATCAGGTGTTTTTTGCGTTTTTAATATTTTAAAAAAGTAATTTATGAAGCCACTTAATTTAATCTGTATCGCATAAAAACATGTTGTTAATTGTTATATTACAATCCTGCATGGGCGTAGCTTGACCATGGTCCATGACCTAAATTGTTGTTGTAAGTAAATTAATAAATCAAAACAAACTTAACCTCTCCCTCAGTCTCATTTGCGTAAGAATTGTCACATGACGAATCTGCATTTTGGTGGGTAATAGACTTAACGGTAATGCTTGCCTGTTGTGTGGAATAAAATGATGTTCCGCGTTTTTAACAATATACACGTACTGCAGAGAAATCTGGAGACAACGAAAAACTCTGATGAAGATATAAATGCCGTGCTAAATGATTCCGGACCCGGACGATCAGATAAAGGTGATCCACAGGACGCAGCAGGTTTAGCTGCACACTACTTTTATGCCGACCATTTACATTCAAATGTTATTTAATTTTCACAGAACACAACCTTTAAATAGATTTTAGAATATAAACTGTTTATTGTCTATTCAATAAGACTAAATAAAAAGTGTGCGCCTCATTGTGCATTAACTTGAATCAAGCTCAACAAATGTCTGTTTTAAAAACAGTGGATGAGTAATTCACTCCTTGATTAGCTTAATAAAAGCCTCCATTGAGATTGTTTTGACAGACATGTTTATTGTGCATTTTAAACGTGTTTATTGCTAAGTTTAGTGTGGCAAAATAGAAGCGCAGCCGTAATTCGTGGGCAATGTAAGTGATTACCATGACAACCTCACGCACTTGCCACTGCTCTATGTGAATGTGAATATGTAGATTTACTATAGCAAAACTAAAATGTGTTTAAAAGTACGTCTGACCAAATCCACCGGTTCAATTTGGCCCCCCCCAAACTCAAACGTCAAGCTACGCCTATGCCTGCCACATTCAAAAAGCTTATTTTTTGTAAATATAAAGCCTGACAATGTCACTGCTTAATACCTATAAGTATTGTGATTTATGTTTTACTTTGGCAATCGTTATAGGACAACTAAACTATCAAATTAAACAAAAATTTACCGTCAACTACAGACGTTGCATCCATCGATTCCGCCATACCGGTTCAATTTGGCCCCCCCAAACTCAAACGTCAAGCTACGCCTATGCCTGCCACATTCAAAAAGCTTATTTTTTGTAAATATAAAGCCTGACAATGTCACTGCTTAATACCTATAAGTATTGTGATTTATGTTTTACTTTGGCAATCTTTATAGGACAACTAAACTATCAATTTAAACAAAAATTTACCGTCAACTACAGACGTTTCATCCATCGATTCCGCCATGTTTCTCATTGACAACTCGGAAACTCTGGGCTTATGATGCGTTCAAGTCATGTCAGATAGATCGTATTTACGAGTTGAACGCACATGAACGCCACCACAAAGTCGTTATTACGAGTGGGAAACTCGAAATTTTCTTTAAGCCCTGAGTTTCCGAGTTGGGGGCGTGTCAATGAGAAACATGGTGGAATCAATGGATGTAACGTCTGCAGTTGACGGTAAATTTTTCTTTAAATTGATAGTTTTGATTACGTTTTTATGCGATACAGATTAACACATGAACGCCACCACAAAGTCGTTATTACGAGTGGGAAACTCGAAATTTTCTTTAAGCCCTGAGTTTCCGAGTTGGGGGCGTGTCAATGAGAAACATGGTGGAATCAATGGATGTAACGTCTGCAGTTGATGGTAATTTTTTGTTTAAATTGATAGTTTTGATTAAGTTTTAATGCGATACAGATTAAAGTGGCTTCATAAATTACTTTTTAAAAATATTAAAAACGCAAAACACACCTGATGCGAATTCTTTGCTCTTCATTTTCTATAAGCAGAGTTAACAGACCCTGTTGTATTTTCTTGTAATTTATTAAAAGAAGGTACACCGCCATCTTGTGCTGACTAAACTGACTTGAACGCACCTGACGTCGTAATTACGACTTGTCAACTCGTAAGTACGAACGTCCCAGGAGGACTTGAACGCAGCATTAAAGAAAAGTTTCCCACTCGTAATAACGACTTTGTGGTAGCGTAAATACGATCTATACGACATGACTTGAACGCACCATAAGAAAGGCGCATTCCAAATAAAATTATATATACAGGTGAAAGTTTTCAAAAAGTGACTTTCATATATTCTAGATTCATTACATGTATCACTCTGCATCATGTAGAATGCATTACATTAAAAGACATGTTAAAAAACAAACAACAATTCAAAAAGTGAAACTTTCATATATTCTAGATTCATTACATGTATCACTCTGCATCATGTAGAATGCATTACATTAAAAGACATTTATGTTAAAAAACAACAAGTGAAGTAACAAACTTTTTCTTAACAGCTCTGAATATAGGGGATTCCTGCTTTAAAGTTAAAAGAGCCAGTCCTGTGTTTGTCTACTGTAGAATGTTCATGTGCATTAGCTCAATCGGCCGGAAAAATTTGTAATTTGATCTAAAGTACATTTGATTCCACCATTGTTGTCAGATTTTATTTCTTGGAATGTAATCTCGTCTCTTGATCCCACTAAAGTAGCTAGGAGCTGTACTTGCATGTCTAAAAACAGCTGCCCGTGGGAAGAATTTCTGAGGAAATTCCATAGGATATTGATAATCATGATGAAACCTCCACCTGATTTGTGAAACAGCAAGCCATTCAGGAAAGTGAGTATAGTTAAGTGTAGGGATGATAAATGAGTAAAAGAGTAGCCAAGCATGTTGATCTGTCAGTCGTGAGTGTTTCATGCGGAGAACTCCGTTTTTGTTTTTTGTGTTTTGCACAATGATGCATTTAAAAGTTACTGGTTTAGAAAAGTTCACATTGTTGTTGCAGATAAAATATAACACGGATAACATTAAGTTTTTTTTTTTAGCAAGGTTAAATGTTGATTATTAACTCAGACCCCTTTATCTAAGCTTGTCTACTTAAAGGGACATAACACACAGTTTCACCCAATCTCATGTTAATCCTGAGTACCTATAAAGTAGTATTGCATCCTTCATATCTCCAAAGAGTCTTTAGTTTGATCATATTTATAAAAGAAAGATATAGCATTTACGATTCTCTCCGAAAACAGCCTAGCTCCTGGATGCGCGCCGTGGGCAGATCTAAAGTGTGACAAGCGCACTGTAACCGATTTTTGTAATTTGAACAGTATTTTACTGTAATATGTACAGTAAGATACTGTAAAATGTGTATACAGTATTTTACTGTAAACAGCAAAGGATTATGGGAAAATATACGGTCACTACTGTATTTCCTCACTACTGTAAATCAATTTACAGTAGGGAGGTGTATTTTGGATCCTCTTCTTGTGAATGCCATAGTATCGATGATAACATCAACTGGTAAGTTAATAGTGTAATTTAGCCGAAGTTAACTAACTTAGTTGAACAAAGAGAAGCATAGTAAGTTATCTTCTCTACTCTGCCTCTTTATCACAAGGTAATTATCTTCAAATGCTATTTAAGTCAGAAAGTGTGTACCAATGTCATATGTAACTTTAGAGACGGTCCCTAAACTCAGTGACAGACGTAACATTAACATAAAACAGTGAGCTAACAACCTACTGAGGAAAACTGAGTGAAGAAACGCCACTGTTAAGAACATCTTTTGTATTTTATTTTCAAGTTTGTGGTCATGTCGTCTGCA